TTCCTGTGGCAAAAGCAAAACCTAGCTTTCCTGACTAAACCCAAGCCCATCTGAGGCCTTCTAGGAATGCCTGAGTCACATCTTTGCAATCATTCATTGGGAATATTCCAGATCTCATCCTCCCATCTCTCCTTCATGAGACTGGGCTTTATTCTTTGTTCTCAGGAGCTGACCTGCAAGGTTTTGTTTTTTTTTTTTTTTTTTTACATCCAGGTCTTGCAGGTTTACTGACCTATAGGCAAGTTCAAAGGAGCTTGGTTCACAGAGAGCAGCAGAGCCCACTGGGCAGACAAAGTCAGAAAGTTCAGCTGTGGTCAGGCTGTGTGTACTGAGCAGATAGCACGGTGTCGGATGGGAGGTTGAGCAATGAGGCGCTGTGCTGATTGTCCATACACTGCCAGGGCTTCTTTAGATGTGAGCTGCAGAAGAACATGATAGCCTGGCTAGCCTGCAGGAAGCCGGACATGGCTACTGGTCTCTAAGGAGGTTTTCTAGTTGCCTGCCATCTGTGTGAAGTGACTACAGACCTTGAAATGGAATCTGCGCATTTTTAAAATCCATAAGGAAGGGAAACTCTACACAGGAAACATAAGCCCAAGTAACTGTGTTTGGAATCAGGGAGTTTAATTGCCAGCCCTTTCTTGCAGTCCAGCTGCTGGGTAATGTTATCTGGCAGCTCCCGAAACCAGAGGGGGGTGGTATCTGTGCGGGTAAACAGAGCTGGCTTTCTCCAGTGACCTCTGCCCTCTCCCCCTCTGACACCTGCTCATTCTCCACAGTTTATCTCTAAAGCAGGGCCAGCCAGAGCATCTTTAAGAAGCTCTGGTAGTGGGATGAGGGTCTAGGGGTGTCCTGGGAGAGGCCAGAATTCCGGCATCCATCTCTCATCTGGAGTGATAATATAGGCTATCTACAGTTGGGAAGAAAACAGAGCAAGCATCTTGTCACAATGGAAGGATGGAGTCTGGAGTCCATCTTCAGATCGCTGGTCTTATCTACAGGAAGAACACTGTCTGCTTTGGAGTCTGCAGCCTATGGCATGTCCCAGAAGTTTGGGAAAACCTGAGGGTGGGAATGGGATCCTGAGAAGTCTCACAACCAATGAAGTGGGTGCTATGAATAAGAGAGATCCAGCCTGGGCTGGCCCCAGAATTCTCTCCTCACTTGGCCATCCTCTACTCGACAAGTCACTGAGCCCTAGCTTCCTCCTCTGCCAAAATTGCGTTGTCGTTTTAACTTGTACCCTGTAACAGCTACCAGGCCTGCCTGCATCTCCCAATGGCCAGGCCTGCCTGCATCTCCCAACTACCAGGCCTCCCTGAGTCTTTCCAGCAGCCAGGCCCAGGCCAGTGATTTATTCTCCCTGGGACGTGAAAGAGAAGCCCCTAATTACCACACAGGAAGGCGCATGGGTGTTAAGCCCCGTTAAGTCCTTCCTCAGTGCCGCTTCACAAGCGCTGGAGAATGGTGGAGTTTAATGACCTGCAGGCAAGTTCTTTCTCTCTCTCCTGGTGGGCCTGGCCTCTTGGGGACCCATTATGTAAGGACACCAGGCAGCACCTGGTGCCGGCACACATCTGCTTCCTGTCTAGGAACCTGCAGCAAGGAGACATTCAGGTGGAAGAGGGTAGGGGGTGCTAGGGTGATTATGACCCTGATGAAAACCCAGCTCCTCTTCCACGGTAGCAGGGAGCTGCTATGCCTGAGGGTCGGCTGGCTTTTGCTGCATTCCTGAACTTTGGCCTGTCTGATCCCCAAATCTGTCTCTGGTTGGTCGTGGACTCTTCCTTGTTCCTCTGGACCACTGGTTCTCAACCTTCCTGATGCTGCAACCTTTAATACCGTTCCTCATGCTGTGGTGACCCCAGCCATGAAAATCATTTTCATTGCTACTTCATAACTGTAATTTTGCTTCTGTTCTGAACTGTAACGTAAATATCTGTGTTTTCCGATGGTCTCAGGTGACCCCTGTGAAAAGGTCTTTCAACCCACAGGCTGGGAGCCATTGCCCTAGGCCCTTCCCTGCCCATAGGTATCCAGACTTTTCCAAGCACCTGAACGAAGCTTTAATTTAAAAGATGTTTATTCCTTATCAAGTTATTTGCTTTAAATACCTACAGACCTAAATTTACATATAGAGAAATAGGCCTGTGGCTGCTGAACGAATATTCTCTTCAAAATTAAAGTTTAATTATCATTACAATAGGAGGAGAAGGATCTTTAGATAGGGCACAGCCTTCTTGAATGGATTAATGTCCTTGTCATGGAACTGCCTGTGTTCATGGTAAAAAGGATGAGTTTAGCCCTCTTTCTTTTGTCTCTTGTACTCCCCGCTCCCTCGTGTGCCTTGTGGACATGACCTCACAGCTGCCACCACCAAGCTTTTGGGCTTCCAAGTACAAGAACCAAATCAAGCCTAGTGTTTTTAATTTACCTCAAGCAACAGTAGAAAAGTAAATACCCAGTATGATTTTTGTTTGTTTGTGTTTTCGAGACAGGGTTTCTCTGTGTAGCCTTAGCTGTCCTGGGTTCACTTTGCAGACCAGGCTGGCCTAGAACTCACAGCGATCCACTTGTCTCTACCTCCCTGTGTGCTGGGATTATAGGGGCCAGCCAGCATGGCCGGTTTATCCGGTGTGATTAAGACGGGGAAGATTCAGATTTGGTTGACATCTTCTGCTGTGTATTTTATTAGCTGTGTGACTTGACTTAGCATGTCTGAGCCTTATTTCCTCCTGCACCATATGGGGATAATCACTGAGAAGATTAAATGAGCTGATGAATTTGAATACTTTATACCATACTGGCTTATAGTAACTTATCACCTAAACATGAGCCATCATTAGATATCTAAATGATTTTGTAATTTGTTGAGATAAATGTTTTTATCAAGGGTACAACAAAGCCGATGCACACACACCTATCTGCCTGTATGTCTGGTCCGTATATTTATGTCTGTCCGTTGTTTTCTCAGGCAGAGACTCACATGGCTCAGGCTGACCTGGAACTCACTATATAGTTGAAGATGACTTTGAACTCCTGCCTCCACCTCCCAAATACTGGAATTATAGGTGCCCACCACTGTGCACCTAGTTAAATATTAGGTATTGTTTAATAATTTTAAAACTATTATTCTCACTGCTGAGACTAGAGCCCAAGGTCTCAAATATGCTGGGCAGATGAGCTACCCCAGAGCTATGTACCCAACTCATAATAGTAGTTTATTTTGAGCTCAGGTCAGGGCTGTTGTTTTTCCATATCAGAACCTCTACTCATCAATACCCCACGCTGGGAAGCTAACTGTCTTAGTTACTTTTCTCTTGCTGTGATGAGCCACCATGACCAAGGCGTCTTATAAAAGAAAGTGTTTAAAGGTCATATGGTTCCAGAGTGTTAAGAGTCTGTGATGGCAGAGCAAAGGCGAACGGTGGCCAGAGCAGCTGCTGAGAGGCCACATCTTGATCCACAACCACAGGGCAGAAAGTGAGACACTGGGAATGGTTGTGAGTCACTTGAACCTCAGGCTACCCTTGGTGGCACACCTCCTCCAACAAGGTCACATCTCCTAACCCTTCCCAGACAGTTCCACCAACTATGGGTGGGGGCATTCTCATTGGAACCCCCACACTGACTCTGCGACTGATCATGGAAAGGGAGGAGGAACGCAAGTCAGAGAGTGTCTTTCACGGAACCACCAAGCAACAGGATTGCCCGCACTTCTGCGTGCAAGTTTTGGCCTCTTCAACTGGGGAGTTGCACCAGTCTGCTGTCCGCAGCATCCGAATGCTTCTCTTTGCTGAGGTTTCTCCTCCATGTAGCTCAGGCCCTGGCCCTGGCTTCTCTGACTGTGAGGTGCTCACTAGGAAGAATGCCACACACCTGTGGTGTCAGAATCATTTACCAATGGCCTGGAAACCTGAATTTCTACAGTTTCCGGCGTAATTCTGAGGGATATGTAGATATGAGAGCCTTCGCTGGGGATCCTTTGTGCCTCCCCAGAGGTCGCCTCCTTTGTGTCACATCTGTGCCAGGAGAGGTCAGCAGAGTAGCCCAATGGCAGTGGGTGTCTGTGTGCCGTCTGTATTTAGACCTCTGCCAGGGCTGTAGAACAGGAACAGCAAGCCACGTCGTATGGACAAGGACCTTTCTCTCCTTTCCCAGAGGCCTCCTGAACCAGGGGTTCTTCTGTGGTGGCCTGAAGCTGCAGCCCCATGTGGCTTACCAGGGGGATGGCCTGGGCCTGGTGTGCTTGCCTGGTGTGGCACCCGGGCAGCCTGTAGCTTCTGCGTGTTGCTTGCCATCTCTCCTATGAAGTTGCTTCTTGTGCCAGATCTGCCGGCTTTCTTGGTCAGTGTAGCGAACCTTTCTGTGCATGTGTTCTGAAGGACAGTGAGCCTGGCTGTCGGGAGGCTGAGTTGAGCCGCGCAGCTCTGAAACGTTTATAGTCTCCCAAAACGTTCAGGGTGGGTAACCCAGCTTTGTGTGTGGAGTAGAGATCTGAGTGCCCTGAGCCCAGGTCTGCCCATGTGGGATTTCAAAGCATGAGGCTTGTCGAGCTGTAGTTGTGGAGGAACCCTCGTGGAATCTCATTCATTCCGAACTTTGAGGACCAGTGGGAATCAGCTATTTACAAATGTATGATGACCTCAATTTTAGGTTTCTTGTCTGCAACACATATTAATGAAAATGATGTATAAGCCATTTCTTTTAACCCTTTACTAAGAGAGCCTTCATTCTTATTTCAGTGACTGCTTCTTCAGGTATAGGGAGTGTGTGTGTGTGTGCGTGCACGTGCATGTGCGTGTGCACATGTGTGCGTGTGTGCGCATTAACATACATTGTAGCATCCATATGGTTCCTGACATTGAGCCAGGCCCTGGTGACAGATGAGAAAAAGAATGGTCTGGGCTGTGGCACTCTTACAGTAATATTAAACCGTGCCTGGCCTGCCTTAGAGCCCAGTCTTGGTCACCTACTCACCTGCTCTTCTTTTCCAACAGGTATATATTATCAATGTGACCTGGTCCGACTCTACCTCCCAGACTATCTACCGGAGGTACAGCAAGTTCTTTGACCTGCAGGTGAGTTGGCAAGAGCCAGATAGTGGCCCGAGTCTCTGGTGGGCTCCCGTGTTTTGTGTCCATATCCCACTGGAAGGCTCTGGACAGAGCTGAGGGACAGAATCCATTCTGGCACAGAGGGGCAGATGGGGGAGTCCCCACAGAGCGGCCAGGCTTGTTACTGTCTTGAGCGCTGCGTGCAGACACTTGAGGCTTTGTTGCTTTCCGCAGTGGTCCTTCACAGTCATGCTTTGTCATCTTGCCTTGGCCTTGGGGTGGAAACCACGGGGAGTCGGGAAGGCAGTCGTGGGTGCTGTGTGCCTGAGGAGACATATGTGTAAACATCTATGATGAGACACAAGTCACCACATCATTGCTAGTAAAGAAAAGCAAACACACAGAGAAGACCAAAACAAAATAAGCAATTTATAAAGTTACATGCTGGGCATACCACTGCGTCTGCCTGGCTATCTAAACAAGGCGCTTGCCACCCAGTTTGTACTTGTGGATGGTGAGTGTGTGTCTCTAACTCACACAGGCAACTGTCTTCAGCAAGATGGTAGTACATAGCCACATAGTACCATCCCACACACCTCTTTGATGCTGGCTGATTCATTTTAGGATCTTTTGGTGACAAATGACTTCTATGTGGTTGACTAGATAGTGGGGACGGCACTGGGTCAATGGGGCTTCCACAAAGCCCAAACTAGTATCAATTGTTCCCATCTTGTCTCTGATTCCCTCCAATACTGTCCTTTGCCCCTGTTAACTCCCACACTGACGAACTTAGCTGTCAGTGACTCTGGAATTCCATACCTGTGGCTCCCAACGCCATAGACACTGACTGTCTCCCTGTTCCAAATTGATTACTCTCAAGGAAGACTTTGGCCAGGTACCTTCTTCAGAACAATCAGAATGCCCAGAGGTAGAGGGTCTTGGAGCACAGTCACGAGCTCTGGCAGGGGGCACTGAGGTGTCACCCTTGGGCATCAGGAGCAAGTGCTGGTGTATTAGTGTGAGTGGGCAGCACCCTTCCTCTATCTGGAAGGGAAAGCCGAGATATTTGAGATTCTCCCTTAGGATGTGAGTGTGATTTAGACTCACAAATACTCAAAGAAGAGACATTCATTCCTAGCCCTCAGAACCAGCAGCCAGTCCTTCCCCTTAGCCCCTTACAGGGGACCATCTTGGAGAGGCAGAGGCAGGCCTGTGTGTTTGTGCATTAATGCCTGCTTTTATCTCATGATCCTTATCACTCTATTTATGCAACAAACTTTTAAAAAGCCAGTTCCCCAGATTATGTATCCTTCTGGTTCCACAGTACGGGGCTGAATTTGTCACTGCATGTGAGAGGAGGAGCGTACATGCCTCCTGCCTTCTGCCCCTTCCCCTCTCGATCCTGCCCAGTCAGTCTCCTTCGGTCTCAGGATAAACTGGTGGGATTTGCCTGTGCCCCATCAATGGGTACAGTGTGTGGGGACAGGAAATGATGGTACAGTAGGGCAGAGCGTGGACCCTGAAAGGGCTCATTGATGAGCTGGAAGGGGGCTAGCAGCCCGGGGAAACTTCCAAATCAGAATTTCTCTTCTGGTCCCACCCCCTCGCAAGTTATTGAATCATACAGGAAAGAAATGCTGCCCCCATCCTCCACCCCTGCGTGAGGCTTCTCTTCCTCCTGTCACTGCTGGAAGGGACACAAGCGTGGAGCAGCTGTGATATGCTGGCCCCTGGCCCTGGCATGACTCCGCCTGTGGCCAGGCTTGTCTGAGTGGGTCATCCTGTCCCTGTGTGTGCAAGTTCCACAGCTACAGGTTCAGTTACTTTCAGATCAAAGATGTTTATTCGTTTGCGGTGAGGCATGTGTAGGCCACATGTCGAGGGTGGAGGGCAGCTTGAGGGAGTCAGTTTTCTCTGTCCACTGTGTGGGTCCCAGGGAGTGAACTCAAGTCCTCAGGCTTACCAGCTAGCATCTTTACCTGCTGAGCAATCTCTCTGACTCCAAAGATACTTTTAAGCCAGGCATAATAGCACATATCTATGATCACAGCACTTGTGAGGTAGAGGTAGGGGGATAAGGAGTTCAAGGTCATCCTCAGCTACATAGGTTGAGGGTAGCCTGGGCTGCTTAAGACCCTTTCTTTTTTCTTTTCTTTTCTTTTTAAGAAAACATAAAATTTCCCCTTCCATCCTGAACACGTACAGATTCTTTTTGTTGTCATTATTCCAAAATATGCTGTAGCAGTTGCTTTCATAAGGTGGGTCCCAAGGGCATTCCTTTTCATCTTTGTGGCATCCATTCATTTATTCATGGTCATGGCTTTCTTATTTATTGGGGTTGCTGGCCTGACAAGATGACTTAGCAGGTTAAAGGTAACCTTAACATGCCTGATGGCCTGATTCTACCTCCGGCAACTACCGACTGAGCATATTCTTGGAACAGTTGTCCCAAGGCCCCTCTGAAAGCCAGGATAGACTCCAGAGAGGGCTTCAAGAGCATTTTAGATGTCAAGGTGGAAACAGGGGAAAGGGCCTTGTTCTTCTGAAAATAGCTTACTCCTCAGCCTTCTACAAGCAGAAGAGGGACCCAACCTACAGGGAGCAGATTATGGTCTCAGGCCCACATTTGTTTGGTCATAAAGGGTCTGCTTGGAGATGCAGATAAGCAGGAGTCAGGCAAGTGGCCACAAACTCCCTTTTAAGTCATCTTTTCATTGGACATATCTCCCCTGTGACCTAGTCCCTCCAAAGAAGGACAGGAAGCCTCCCTCGCCCTGGCTCCACTGGTGGCTGTTTCACAACCTGGCCTGCCAGCCCCTGGGCTGCAGTCATTTCTCTGCAAACATTGGCTCATGTGCTGTTGGCCCCTGAGAGGGACCCCTGGCAGTGAGAGTAACTGGGTCAATATTTGGTCAGTGCCAGGAAAGGCCCTTAAACTTCCCCTGCACCACTTGGAAGACAGCTGAGAGAGCTTGAGCCTACTTATTTGCTCAAAGGGCTTCAGCTGTTTCGAAGAGCTTTTATCTCTCTTCCTTATTCATCTCTCTTGCGCTTTCCACCCACGCACCCAGCACGGGGCCACACTCAGTTTCCAGCTCTTGAGTAGCCTGGTTAATGACCGGTGAACAAAGCTGTAATCCTAGAATCGCTAATATTCAGCCCTGGAATGGCGTGTTATAATATTACCTGTGGAGGTTCCTGGAGCATTGCCTTTTTAGAATTAGAAGAGATCCTTCTTGTAATGTGTGTGTGAGTGTGTACATGTGAGGATGGTGTATGTATGTGGTGGGTGCAGGTGCTCACACCTGTATTCAAGTATGCAGAGAGCAGAGAAAGCCATTGGGTGAGAGCGTCCTGTTGTAGCACTTTCCACACTATTCCTTGAGACGAGTCTTTCCCTGAGCTTGGAGCTAGGTGGACAGCTCGGCTCTGCCCCTTACCCCCAGCTCTGGGGCTGCAGATCTGTGCACCCATGCTCAGATTTTTACATGGATTCTTGGATCCAAACTCAGATCCTCAAGCTTGTATGGCCAGCACTGCCACCCACTGAGCCATTTCTGCACTGCAGTCTATAGACTCTAGACCTATAGTACTTTTTATTCTAAGCCTTTTCTTTGTAGGGGAAAGCTGTTCATTTTTCTATTCATTTTCTATTCATTTTCTATTCATGTTTGTGTATGCATGTGTTTATGAATCACCTGTGTGCAGGCCAGAGGTCGATATTGAGTGTCCTCCTCTGTAGCTCTTCTCCTTATCTATCTATCTATCTATCTATCTATCTATCTATCTATCTATCTATCTCTCTCTCTCTCTCTCTCTCTATCTATCTATCTATCTATCTATTTCTCTATCTATCTATCATCTATCTATCTATCTATCTATCTGCCTGCATCTATCTATCTATCTATCTATCTATCTATCTATCTATCTACCTACCTACCTACCTACCTACCTATCTTTGGGCTTTTTGAGACAGGGTTGTGTTGTGTAACCTTGGCTCTCCTGGACTCATTTTGTAAACCAGGCTAGCCTTGAACTCACAGTGATCCACTTAACTCTGCCTCCCTGCATGCTGAGACCATAGATGTGCACCACCATGTCCAACTCTTTATTTATTTTGAGATAAGGTTTCAAACTGAGGATCTTGACGATTCTGCTAAATAGGTTGGTCAGTGAGCCCTAGGGAACACTGAGCCTAGATAAGAGGCAGCAGGGTTTTTTTCTATGTGTATCTCTCTCTCTCTCTCAGTCTCTCTCTCTCTCTCTGTGTGTGTGTGTGTGTGTGTGTGTGTAGGTCAGAGGACAACTTGTGGAAGTCAGTTTTCGCTTTCTCTCCTGTGGATTCCAGGGCTCTAACTCAGGTTGCCAGATGGTGCCTGCCAAGCCATCTCACCCACGGATGTATTCCTAATTTTTAAGGATTTAGAAGGATGTACTCCAGATGGGTCACCATTATGTCTGGATGATATTAGGGACATTGATGGAAGAAAGGCTGGTAAGTGAAGAGACACCTGGGAAGAGTTCGGAGTGTGGAAAGTCTAAAATTTAAAAAATGCCTCTTGTGGTTGTTACAGCAACAGAAAACAACAGGCTTGAAAATTTATATCAAGAATGCATCTAGTAAGAGAAAGAAAATGAAAATAATAATTTAACTTACATTACCTCATTTTTCCTGGACCATCATTCTAAATCATTCCTGTGGAATGTAACTACTTAGATCTCATTAGAACTAACCAAATTATCTTGTCAAACTGGCATCATGTATTTAGATATTCCTTAAAACCCGTGAGCCAGGCACTGGAACAGGATGGCTGCTGGCAGCGGTGCTCTGGTCCTGATGAAGCCATGGTGAGTCGGGTTGGGGCAGCAGTGGTTAGGATGAGCAGCACCCAGGACTGAGATGGCTGGTTCCGGAGACCGAGCTCCCCAGGCCTTACTGATTATATATCCTCTGATGAGTTCTTTAACCTCTCAGTGCCCCTGATTTCTCATCTTAAAATGAAGTCATTATAAAGACCTGCTTC